GACGAAGCCGCTCATCTTCCTACAAATCTATGGAAACCGGATAGAGGGTTTGGTCGAGAGGATCCGCCCTCCGAAGCATATGTTAGCTATCTAGTCAGTCCCTACGGTCAAATCCAATTGCCTACCAACCCTCCTCCCCCTCTCCTAAATTCTGGGACCACCTTCTTTGACGTATGTGGTGCCCAAAGCCGAATTAATTCAGCTATTTCATCAGGTCGCTATCCACGAGCAAGAAGCCACAGTGCAACTGGATTGCGCAATACTATCTGGAACACGCCAGCCGCAGGTCTTGGAGGGGGACGCAGCAGTCTTCAGTTGGCCGACAACTGTGCTTTGGAACTCTCTCCCGCTAGCTCTCATCGCAATTCTCAGCATCACACCCAATACCTACCTCAGGAGCGCAATCATCAAAATCAGTTGCTAAAGCAAGGCTACTCAAAATCACTCACCTACCAGCCAGCACCCGGATTGCATGTCTTTGGCCCTTCTGAAGGACACCCTGCAAGTCGGCCTGCTGACATCGGTCCCTTGATAACAGCGCCTGGCTGGGGATTCAGCCAACCTCTAAACCGGCGACGGATTCTGGCCAATGCAAATGCTGGTCTCTCTTCCCCCGGGACCACCATAGCCTCGACTCGCCCATTCACGATGCTTCGTCAAGTGGGCCGGGCCAGCTCACTTGGACGGCCTGGAACAACGCAACAGCAAAATTATACAAGCAATCTCTTTGTATCGCAGAGACAAAGGGAGCGCTTGCCATTGCAGCAGCAACAGCCACAACAGCGTAGCAGAAGCAAGAATCAGTATCAACATCGGCCACAGCACCAGCATATACACAACATGGAGGGTGTTGCGACAGCTACCGCGACTGTGAAGTCAATGGGGATGCCGGCAAATCAATATCACAAGGATGATTCAGCATTACCATGTATGTAATTATCATGTTTACGACTTTTTGCCGGAAAAATAGTACTAAATATCATATGCTTCCATTAAATCAAAGGAAGCCAATGCATTAACGCAACGGCTAAAATTAATTAGTCATTAGGTAAATCTTTAACTATGCGAAAATTATTTGTATTGGACGACATCAATAAGAGGTGAGGGAAGTTTCTATTAGAAAAACCTCTTCTGTGAGTTAATATGTTTGCAAAGACAGCGCTATTTGCTTCGAAATACCCCAGTCCTATCTTTCGATTGGATTTTGCCTAATTATCTGGCACGCTGAGTCATTTTTCGCTTTTTTATTATTAGCTAAACTCACTGGGATGCCTAAACAGGGCTTTATTCATGAAGTCACTCTTCCATTTTTCCCAATAATTCCCCTCCTTTGAATGGTGAGTCTTTTCTTATTGCAGCCCCGTGAAGATGGTCCCATGAAAAATGGTGCCCACATTTCGGTTCATTGAACAAATTCAATTTCATATCGTTCAGCTTACTTCCATTTCGAGTGAAAGTGTTGGGTGAAGAGATTTGAAGGTAGGTTCCACCAGAAGATGATGGCGGATTCCTCTTGACCAGCTGTCGATTGGCTTTACTGGAAGATTCATGCTG